TGGTTGTTCTTGCAGAAGACCCAGGTTCGAATCCCAGCACCCACATGGCAGCTAACAACTGTCCATAACTCCAGTCCCCCAGGGGATCAGAGCTTCTTCTGACCTCCACAGGCATTGCATGACATGGGTGCACTTACCTATATGCAGGCAATACATGCATACACATAAAAATAATAAAAATTTTTAAAAATAAATTTTTTAAATGTCATTTCTGGTTCCTTACTTTCTTCATGCGATGGTCTAAGAGATGTCCGCCCTCATGTAATCCCGCTCATTGTGAGGACCGGCAGTGCCTGCCATGGAACTGATGGAAACAGAACCACGCATTCAGCAAACATGAACTGAACAGCTGCTGCACGCATGGCACCGGGCCAGACATGTTGATGAAACAGTAAACAAGAGATGGTCCCTGAGAACGTGATCCAAGTGTGTTTTGTGCACGATGGACTGCCACAGACCCGTTATTGGTATATTCTAAATACACTAGTAAAATTTCCTACAAAAGATGGCCAGGTGAAGCCTATCTTCCAGTTGAATAAAGAGCATATAATGTAATATGATCAGAGGCACATAAACCTTGGTAAGCCTTTGAGCTTATAATTGTTAAGGTTAAGAACCTGGGGGCTGGAGAGATGGTTCAGCAGTTAAGAACACTGGTTGTTCTTGCAGAAGACCTGGGTTTGAATCCCAGCACCCACATGGCAGCTAACAACTGTCCGTAACTCCACTCCCCAGAGATCCAACAGCCTCTTCTGACCTCCGTGGGCACTGCATAACACAGGTGTACTTACTTACATGCAGGCAATACGCGCATACACATAAAATAAAAAAAAATTTTTAAAGATTAAGAAGCTGAAGGTGAGTTGGTTCCTATGGAAAGGTTTGGTTAGATGGAGTTGTAACACTTGCCTGTGTAGTCTGGACTGGAACTGGATCAGATGGCAAAAAGATCAAGATGAAATCCAATAGTCTCAAAGTCAGTTTGAAAAATAGTTTGATTCCTGAGGTCAGGCTGTCATCACTGATCGTCTCTGTGATCACTCATGTTTTCTATAGCAAAGGATAATTTCACATGCAGTTGCTCTTACCTACATGAGTACTTGAACCAGCCTTTCCTGTTTACTTGCTTAGGACCAGCGCTTCCCCTGGCGGCGGCGGGGGGTGGGGGGTGCTGGCTGTCTGATTTTATATGGTCTCAAGCTTTCCCCTTTAAAGAGAAACAAAAAACAGCAAAAGTACAGAAATCACCCACTAAACTAGAAAATCCTAGTGAATGAATGAACTGTTAAGACAGACTGATTAATCATTAGGCCAGGAGACTTTTTTAGTTACATTAATAATTTTAGCTGGGTGTGGTGGATGTACAACTTTAATCCCAGCGCTTGGGAGGCAGAGGCAGACAGATCCCTGTGAGATTGAAGCCAGCCTGGTCTACATAATGAATTCCAGGCCAGCTGGAGCTAGAGGGAGACCCTGTCTCAAGGAAAGGAGGGGAAAAAAAAGTCCAAATGGACCAGTCCTAAATATGAGCAGTTAAAATAATGGAGCTTCTACAAGAAAAGAAACTCCTTAGAAAACTCTTTGAGAATTGGCTGATCCATGGACCTCACCGCAGTGTGGAGCTCCTCGGGAAGTGGCCCAGGAAAAGGGAAGGAAGGAGGGCTGTATACTGTAGTCAAGAAGGCTAAGTTGGAGCAGGTGCCTCATAGCTGACCAGGTGAATCATACACACACACGATAGTTTACAGCCTTCCTTAGGAGGGTGGCGTACATTGTCTTCAGGTTCTCAATACCAGCAAGGAGCACCATCTGTCTTGTGAGGCACCGTGTTGCCACCTCATGAGATGAAGGTCTAAGGTGCTGGAGTCTGCGCCAACTGCCCCAACCAACAAAAGTCAGATTAGTCCATTTTCAGGAGTTCTGTGAACTAGCTGCTATTAAAATTTAAATACTGCATTAAAAACAAAAGCAATTACTTCATTAGTACAATGCATTATCTATGTCTTAGGGTTGTCACAGTGTGGGAACACTACGCACTGAGTTCTGTGTTCCATGGTGTTGCGTTGGGAGCTGGGACTCTGCAGTGGATGAGAGCATTTACACCACAGAAATTGGCAGGTGCTCCACTCACAGCCTTGCCCACCTGGAATTCTGTCTGAAGGAGATACCGCTGGGGCTGCAGGTGCCCTCTCCTTTCAAATTTGAGATGGTGATTAGAGGCCACGGTGACCTCTGCTGAAGGAGGTCCAGGGCCCTGACCCTTCATGGCTGTCTTGAAGGACAGGCCTTACAGTCTCTGCCCCGTGGACTGAGACAGCCTCCTCATAGTTCCTTGGGAACCACTTCCCACAGTGCCTTTGTCCCCCACCATAGTTGGCCCTTGGTGGAATCCAAGGCAGGCCCCCTCCACATCTCTCAGGAGGCTGCCCCAGCAGGGTGTGGTACCCCCCAAGTCCACTGTGTCTTATTGTGAAACCACTATAAGGATGCCTCCCAGTTGGCAGTGAGTCACCTTACCCCTGGGAAGTAACGGGCCAGGCCCTGGGCCTTGCCGAGCGCCTTGTAAGCTGCCAGCTTCTGTGGCACAGGGCACTTCAAAGACAAGCCTGCTCTTTCTAAGGTGCTCTTGTGTCCAACAGTGCTGTCATTGTTTTCAGCAAATACCCTGAGGCTCTAGTGAATCAATTCCAGTCTGGTCTCTAAGGCCTTCCTCCGTGTTTCTAAACTTATGCTGAGTTCCTTCAGCCCTCTATTTCAGCTTCTATTTAATTGGTGTGATAGAAAGGTCTTAATTTAGCTCTCCCTACTACCAGTTCCAAGAAATCCGCCACCAGCTCCAAGCTTCGTGTCCTGAAGTGCCACCCCATTGCAGCGGGGTGAGCCAGCAGCTCTGAAAAGAGAACGCGGCAGAACAGATGGGCACTGTGCTTCCAGACACCGCCCAGCGCCAGCGGGACGCGGCTTTCTCCTGGCCTCTGGCGAGGTCACACTGCTTTTGCTTCCAAAGACAATACGGCAGCCCCTGACCTGCCAGCCCGGGGAAGCTGAGGCAAAGCCGTCCCTGCATCCTGGGCTTTCAAGCCCTGCGAGGAGATGTCCGTCCTCACCTGGCTCCCTGTGCCTCTCAGGACAGGTCCTGGCGTCCTCCACCTTGTCTGTGCCCCGCAGGGCCTCTGCACACCCTGGCTGTTCTCCCTGGGAGCAAACCAAGTGGCCCTGGTCACTCACCATGACAGCTGCAGGACACATTCAGCTGACATTGTGCATTCATCCACCCGTCATGTCTGTGGGAGCAGACACAGTTCTAGTGTCCCAGTTACAAGAGAACAGAGAGAGAGAGGGCCTCAGAATTCCAGCAGGGGAGGCTGACATCAAGTAGGACAGTAAAACATGGTAATCCATGTCACTGGTAATCCAGAGAGGAATGGAGCCAGAAAGGGGATGGGAGACAGTGGTGGGGTTGCAGCTTGGGACAGAGGCCAGAGGAGGCAGCATTTGAGGGCAGCCTGGGGGGAGTGGAGAAGGCTGGTGGGCAGACAGAAGGGACACAAGGGAAGCTGTTCATAGAAGGATGTGATGCTGGGCCATGGTGGCCTGGGAAAGCAGGCTGGAGGCCATTCCA